AGAGGGCTGAGGGTAAGAGAGGGAGGGATGATGGGGGTAGGATGGGTGCAAAGTGCTTAGGCTAAGAGAAGGAGAATGGGAGCATAGAAGAAGATTTATCCCGAAGACCTCCACTCTTAATGGGCACCTCGCAGCTCAGGGCCAAAGGTGAAGAAGCAGAATCACTGTTCCTCCAACAACAGCAGCAGCTGCAGCAGGAGCACTGGAGTTCCTGTCGGCCCGCAGTAAATAAAGCAGCAAATGGAGGCTGTCAGTGGCGGAGAGGCAGAGTAGCACCCTCTATTCAGCCTGCTTAATCACCACCATGTCTCTCCATCTCCCCATGAAGCCCCCAGTCACTCCTTTCGACTTTGCCTGAGTACACAACAACCCACACTCTGTGCGGCTGCTCATTAGAAATGGCAGCGTTCTGTACACGACAAAGCTGTTCTCATTGCATAAGCGCCAAATGTGGAAGGAGGTGATTTCTCTTCTAGATTGTTATCAAACGCTGCGGCAGATCATTTCCTTACTCCATCCCTTTTTATTCCACCGCTCGCTGCTGTGTCAGCACGGTCCAGTTGCGTTCCCTTTATGTCGAGTTTCAAACAATTTCATCATGCAGCCAAAAAATTTCGCACTTGGTATGCAACAGCGTGGCGGTAATTTGTACGTGTTTGGATTCCAATTATGAAGTTGTTAGAGCCGGTGCCTGTGGGCTGCAAATTCGTATTACACCATACATTAAAGCGCAGAGAAACACTTTTAAATTGAGATTGCATTGCTTTCTCTCTCCATGTCCCTCTTTCCCTCTTTTTTTTGGCTAATATTATTGCAGCAATTAATTTGCTCTAGATGCCCCGTGTTTTCCGCCTCTGCAAATGCATCCAATTTGGAAGTGCTGTAATTGCAAGATACAAAGATACAAGATTTTCTCTTCTAGCCGAGGGTCAGGAAGAGCACGCCTTGGCTGCAGGTTTCTAGACATAACAAAGCTTTGATGTGTTCAGAAGCAGTGCTGGCTCAGGAAGATGTTGTTGTAATGGGCAAAAAGAACAGAATTGACTGACTTGTTTGTTTACCATTGGAAATCATTATGTTAGGACAGTGTTTGGAGCGAGCCAGCTCCTGCTTCGACATGGCCTGTTTTAGCTTGTGGGGAAAAAGGTCATGACCCTCAGTTCTTGTCCGTCTCTGTCAGGAGACAAAGCCTTAGAGGGACTGTACAGCTCACAACATGCTTCATAGTGAGCAGACAACCAAGAAGCATTTTATTTAAACATAGGGTCGGTTGACCAGATCCAGGAGTAAGCCTAGTTCTGGACTGTGTTATCCCTTCAATGGAGAATTTACTTTTAAAATGCTTTGAAGTCCAGGACTAGACTTCATCCCTGTCTGGGAAACCAAGCCAAAGAGGCTGGTGGGTTTTCTTGCTCAGTGTGGCCAAGAACAACCTACTTTGACATTCAAAATGACCAGCCATAAAATGCTGTTTTAGAGTGACTTGCAGTGGCAGGTCAGCAAAAAACCAACGTCAAATTAAAGACAGTTTAAAGATTGCTGTCACAGTATACAGAGCAAGCAAGACAGTGTACAGAGCAAGCAATTGCTTGCTAGCTAGCATTTAGCTTGATAATCAAAAGTCTTTTGTTTTCCAAGTTTTCCATCGGACTGATAAAATCTAGTGCATTAAGGTGTGTATACACAGCAAAGTGGATAGCCAACCACAATGTAACCGACAAAATTACAACAGCTGTGGTCATCTTAGCGTCCAGAAAAGATCAGACAATCTGTGTACTTTTCTGGGCAGATCATCTAGGTGTAAGATTGAGCCTGTGGGAAATAATGACATATTATCACTTTTTTTGTAGTAATTCATATTTTTGTTTGATAGGTGCTTGATTGCTCTGCCCTCTTAGCCAGTGTATCTCTGGCTCCTTCATGTCGTTGAGTCTCCTTCGTCCATGCCCATTAGCCTACATCAGTTTCCATGTGGCAGGTTAGCATTCATACTAGCATTATTTTGTGTGGGTGTTGAATTAGCACCCATTGCTAAATGAAAGCTTCGGTAGCATAATAAATAAATGAACAGCTCACATGAATAAATCTATGGCGGATACTCTGAAACCTTCCAGTCTCCAGAGTGTGCATTTACATGCCAAATAAAAAAAGAAGAGCAGAGGAGGATCCATTTTATAGCAGTCACTTTCACACCTATAAAAGTGTGATCCCCACTGTGTGGTTTGATGTCTGCCAGTGAGGCAGCCTAACCCTGGCAAAGCTGGGACTGGCATTGGAGTGAGTACACCACTGTAGTGTGTTTACTGTCACTGTCATGGAGCAAGGGCGCATTAATGATGCTCTGTGTTCTAGCGCCTTGTTTCACTCGGGCTCTTTTGCTTTAGTGAGTGGCCTTCATTTGGCAGTGCCTGTGCGCGTGCATGTGTGGTTCAGATTGTCTTCTCGAAGCCCTGGGGCTATGAAGCCCTCTCTCCTGTCCTCACCCCAGTGGCTGTTTCCTTTGTGCCCCCCCGGGCTTTTCCTCCTGCAGCCTCTCTCTGTCAGTAGCTCTCAGAGTTTATCCCGGCCGGCTGGGACGTGGGTGGTTTGGACAGTGATGGCAGGCTGATCTATGGAGCTGGGGCTGGAGCTAAAACACACACATATATATTCACGCACACACATTCAGTGAAGACCGGATTGGACAGGCTCCCCCATGCTAGAAAATAGACTGTCTGTATTTAGCCAGTCTACAGGGATTCCTCACAGCAGCACTAGCCCTGTCATTGTAAGGGACGGACTTGCTTTGTGCCAGCTCGATTTTCCAGCACCCAACAATGGTTGAATGTTAGAAGGCTGTTAACCCCTTAAACGAACTGTCATAACTAAATGCTGTACTGTGCAAAAGTCAGAGACCACCCTTCATTTATTCAAAACTGCACTATGTATGATTTTTTTTATTAGTCAGGAGAAAACCAAAACAAACCGAAATAGGGGGTCAAAAAAGCTCGATGTTCTGTCTCAAATGCAAAATCAGTGTTATACTAATGAAGATATGATGACAATAGTAGATCATTTACTTACATCCTTGGAAGAAGTTTTGGCTGAATTCAAAGAGAACTCAGCCAAAACTTCTTCCGAGGATGTAAGTAAATGATCTACTATTGTCATCATATCTTCATTAGTATAACACTGATTTTGCATTTGAGACAAAACATCGAGCTTGAAGATATGATGACAATAGTCATCATATCTTGCAATCATCATCTCTTGCTAAGGGAAGGAGTCCAAAGCACAAGCAACGTTATCCTTCCACACGTTATGAGCAATTACATATTTCTATCAGAGAGGACTCCAAATCCCCAAATCTTACATAGTGCAGCTTTAATTTCCAGTCGAAAAGGTGGTTAAGTACACATTGTTTTATTTTTCAGGAGATATTTCTGAGGAGATTAGATACAGGATAATCCGCTTGAATAGGGAAAGAGAAAGTCGAAGGAAAACAAGTGAAAAAACAGGAGTTTCCAAACTCCAAAACAAAAGAGTTCAAGATTTGATTATAAGCTATAGACATGGTAGACCATTTCTTTCAAAAACTGAAAGCCAGTTGCCTGAAGAGAATGCAAGCTATAATAAAGGCAAAGGATGGACACTAAATCTTGAAGCATTTATACTTAGTTGTTGAGGTTTCTTTGTAATTTTCTGTTAAATTTACTTTTCCCGCTTCTTTGTCTAACACTGAAAAAAAAATTTACTTATTGCCCATTATGACTGGAAATTACATAAATGAAGGGTGATATCCTTTGCATAGTACCATACTACATAACATACTTGTTTCATATAAGTTTTAGAATAATCCTTAGTATTGGCTGGGAAATAGCTAAAGTTTGGACTAATATCAATTTCCATAAATTTACATTTCTCTTACTTCTAAAGTAGTGAATCAGCCAAGAAACAGTCTGAAGTTTGCTTTTTCAGGGGGTTTCACACTGCATTATTCTGAGGTCAGAAAAGGAGATGCACTGCACTGCCTTTTTGTTCCCCTTTTGGAACACTGCTTCTGGCTACGCTCAGCAACAAACACATTATAACTGTCAGTCAACTATGCTAGTTGGCTGTTGTTTCAATATGTACAGGTGGAAAGCTGTTTAAAAAGATATCTACTGGATATCTGCTGTTAACTAGCAAGTATGGTGCTGCCAGTGAAAACAGTCTAAACCAAAAAGCTGCCTTCTCCTTAGTCTTGCACTGGAGCTACAAAGCTAATGCAGCTAACAGGTAATAGTGTGTACCCACCTGTTAGTATTGTGTGCATGCCTAAATCATCAAACACTTGCCTGAAAATGTGTAGAGTTTTCAGGTAATCTTAAATGGACGTGCTTATGTGGATTCTGACACTGTTAGCTATTAAAATGGCCAAAATTATGGACACAGTTTAGGTTTCAAGATGGCTGCTACTAGCATTTTTGTGTGCTTTTGTCATTTTGAAGATAACGGTATCTTTTACAGTCTATATAAGCAAGTTTATCCAAGATTTTTCAGAAACAACAATGCAGTTTGAAGTTTGTGATGATTTTGGCATGCAGTTTGTACAGTGCTAATCGATGAGGTATAAATTTACCTTACTTGTGAGCTACATTAGCCTCATAGCTCCAGTGCAAGAAGTAAAGATTGTGTAATTTAAAAATATGTGTAAATTAGATCTTTTGGGAGTTCTTTTGCTTTAAATGACTATATAATAGGCCTAGAATTAAAGGCCAAGAGGTTAAAACAGACAAGTAAAATCATAAAGGAGAATGTAGGGGTTGTGTCGACCCGGGTTTGCGACACTGTTTTTGTTTTGTGCATAGCGCTGGTCCTCGTTACCCCCTCATGGATTATTCATTTGTGCTGCTGAGTGTGGTTGTTTGGTAACACAATGTGGCAATAATGGCTGCGTCCTGCGTTGCTATTGAGTGTCTAAACAAAGCCTATACTGACTGACCGCTCACCATCTCTTCCTGTTTTTCTTTGTCCTGCAGGCTGCGCCTTCCTCACCTACTGTGCCCGTGAATCGGCCATCAAAGCCCAGAATGCCCTCCACGAACAGAAGACGCTGCCAGGGGTGAGTTCCTCTGCCGGCCTACGACATCCCCCATACCCGCCCCCCCCTTTAGGAAGGGCCACTGTGCTAGTCAAAGCCAAAGCAAGAGTGTTTTAGAAAAGAAACGTGGAGGGAAATAAATCGATAAGTCTAGCCTTTTAAGATCAGCCTTAAAGCAGTTTCATGGTGCCTCTCCCAGGGGCTACGGCAGCCATTGATCAGATGCTTTCAGTGCCGAGGCTTGGGGGGGAGGCAGTGACAGCAAATGTCAATTCATTTGTTCTTTCAATTTTTCCCCAAATTGCACCATTTACAAAAGAACAAAAAAGAAAAAGGCTGTTGCCCAGTCACACTAAAGTGACCGTACAAGCAAAAATAAACATTAGCGCTGGGCTTACCTTCCTTTTTTTTTACCAGAACTGCGTGGTTCAATGTACTGAGAATGGAGAGTCGATAATGACAGAATGAATGTAGGCTGCCTGGCCCTACATGGGCCACATCAAAAAAGGTACAACATCAGTGGGTCGTGCCGTATGACGTGCATCTATATAAAACAGCTGCGAGGAGACTCGAGTTGAGCCAAGAGGCACACGCTTCACATTAAAGATGCAAATACGGCAGTGGCGACTTTGAACGATGCCGGCGGTCCCTTGAAAAACAACTTGTTTCTTTTATCCCTTCAAATTTGCCAAGCTCCAGGCTTGAGGGGCTTTTTTTTTCTTAAAGGGCATTTGAATAATGAAAAGAAAGTTGTTCTTTGAGAGAATGCCAAGGGGATATGTTGGTGGGAGGCAATGAGTGTGTGAAGCAGAGCACTGAAGACAAAACAGGATTCTCCTCCGAGTTGATTTTTTAGGCTGGCAGTGCCCGTCGGTGGTTGAGACACTAATTGCACCCCGCGTGCCAACCTCGGTGGGCATCAGTCAGGGTTGACCAGCTACTAGGATTACAGAGGATCTAGAGATGAATGTTTGGAAGCAGGAAATGTATGTTTAAGGGGAGAGAGGCTTTTAAAGCAGCTGGCCACTGAAAGATTTAAGATCTAAATACGATGAAACAAATTAGAGACGAGCGGTGCATGACAAGTGGTATTAAAGGTTTATTTCGACAGTAGCAAATATACTCGGAGGTGTTTAGATGAATACACACAGGGCTCGACAGAAAATATGTCAACCACTACTCCCAATTACTCTGTGGACAGAGAAAAAAGGCACATAAGCTCACACCTGTGTGGGCGGTCTTGCCATATACAGTACTGTGCAAAAGTCAGAGACCACCCTTTCATTTAGTTTCTAGTCAAAATGGTTATTAAATACAAGATAATCGTTAAGAAATAAGCAGAAAATGTATAGTTACCAAAAAATAACTTAGAAACCTTACATTTTTCAATATTTATTGTGTCTCTGCCTTTGTTACAACATTGATTGGAAGGAGAATTTTTAAAGAAATTTGAAAAGATGTTTTTCCACACCAAAGTTCAATCTTGGAGGTTGGTTGCATTTTCCGCTTTTCGTAATTCCAAACATATTCCATAATGCTGATGTCTGGAATCTGGGGTGGCTACACAGCTGCACGTCCTTTCAGACCCATAGTGCTGAGTCTTCTTACAGCGGATGGATGGATAAAAGCACCTGTGGATTTTTCCGGATCTAATGCAAGAGTGGAGCTCGACTTTCTCTCAAAGTTGAAAGTTTGAACTACTGTCCATCTGATGGGGACAGTTTTGGTGGTCCACCAGGTCTTGCACGGAATGATCATTTCCAGTTTTGGGAACTCCCGACTTTCCTCTTTTTTTTACAGGTGGATTATGTTATATACCATCTACTGAAAATATCTCTTGAAAAATGAATAACTTGTACTTAATGGCTGTTTTGACTGGAAGTAATAAATGAAAAGGTGGTCGACTTTTACACAGTACTGAATGTGATATCATTGAATCAGCTATACTGCAAGTATTCATATCCCCATGGGGAAAACGCAGACAGAGCAGTGGCTGGTTGGAAAAAGAGCGAGGGAGAGATAGAGAGGAATAAAAGAGGCAAATCGAAGCTAGTGTGTGGTGTGTGAGAATGTGTGTGATCCACTCTATCTACACCCTCCGTTCCCTGTTAAAACTGGACGAGTTGCAGCGGGCCCTGGCCAGTCTGGCTCTAAATCTTTCAGCACCAAACCCCTGCTGTTGTGTGCTGATGGTAAGTAGACGTGCCAGTTGTTTGTTTGCTAAATCCTGCTTGATATGCAGTTTGCCAAAGGCTACAGCGTAATTCATGTAAACTAGGATTCCCCAGGAGGGGACTTACGAGTTATTTACACCTGCATTTTCACTGTTAACTCTTTAACCACTGTTACAAAATGGACAGTCAATGTGGACGATCAAGCTTGTATCTAACAGTTGGGATAATTCTACTATTTAGTTACTTGGTTATTAGTTATTTATGTAGGAACATTTTGTAGACATTTTAGGCAGAAAGAAGTCTGTTTTAATGGTAACAAAACTTAGTGATCATTTAAGTGCTATATTAGTGGTGTAAAGACTGATTTTTAAGGTGCTTTAATAAGCCATTAGGCTACGGTAAAGTTTCCTCTAGCAGTGCTGGTTCCCAAAGTGTGACATACTGTCTTTACGTAGACATTTGGTGGTAATGTAACTTAAAGGCTTATACTGATTTTTCAAAGTTTTTGCACAAGTCAATTGTTGATATAAACAACAGTCATTCAGAGTGGTTTGATATGTAATGATGCAACTAAAACAGTTTATTAGTAGTAACAGAGCTTACTTACTGACTTGCTAATTTATGTGAAACAGACATTTCACTCAGAAATAAGTTTGTTTTGGTAATAAAACTGAAGCTCCTGGTGCTAATAAAACTTGAAATGTCAACCATTAAAACTGTTTAAATGCTAAAGGAGCTTATTAGAACTAATTAAATAATATCAAACAATATGTACATGTAATATTTTATTCATATCTACTGCTAAAATTGATTTTTAAGGTGCTTTAATAAGCCATTAGGCTATGGTAAAGTTTCCTTTAGGTGCTTCCCAAAGTGTGACGTACTGTCTTTACGTAGACATTTGGTGGTAATGTAACTTAAAGGCTTATACTGATTTTTCAAAGTTTTTGCACATGTCAATTGTTGGGGTGTAAACAAAGTCATTCAGAGTGCTTTGATGTGTAATGATGCATTATAGACTTATCAGCTTATATACAAAATATATAAATATATCAACACAGATTTTCTTAACAGTGGTGGTGATAGGAACCAGGAGTCACAATCTTTGCAAGGCATATATCTTCATTTTATTTCCCAACCAAACAAATAGTGAACCTAGTTGTGTCTTATAAGTAAAGATAATAGTAAAGTAGTGATAAAATAGTTCAGTAGTTTTTCCCTTGGTTCTATTCTGGCATGTTTTAGGTCAAAATCTTATCCCAACACAATGTATAAACAATATCTGAGACACCAGGTCGTGTTTTCATAACCATTTCATGTAATAACCTTCTGTGATGTAAGTTTTAAAGGTGTTTTGGATGTCTGGTTCCCATTATCGCCACTGTGAACAATTTTGTTCTGAAAAGTTTCTCTAGAACAGGGCATTTGCATTGAAACACTCTGAATAACTGTAATTTTAATGATTTAATTATGAAGACATTTTAAAAATTCAGTAGAAATGCCCTTTAAAATGTCAACCAATAAAACTGCTTATTAATACTAATAGGCCCCAGTTAATCCTTAATTATTTACACATGGAAATTTTCCGTAGGAATTTGTTTTGGTGGTCTAAGCTTACAATTTCAACAATTAAAACAGTTTATTAGTAGTAACAGAGCTTACTTACTGACTTGCTGATTTATGTGAAACAGACATTTCACTCAGAAATAAGTTTGTTTTGGTAATAAAACTGAAGCTCCTGGTGCTAATAAAACTTGAAATGTCAACCATTAAAACTGTTTAAATGCTAAAGGAGCTTATTAGAACTATCTACTTATTATCTACTGCTAAAATTGCATTAATAAGCCGTTAGGCTACGGTAAAGTTTCCTCTAGCAGTGCTGGTTTCCTGAATACTTTATGGTTTCTCACAAACAGCTATACCTACTTTTTTTCATGTAAAGCATGTGGACATAACATTGGAGCTTACTCTCTCACGTGTAGCAATCTGACGTTTCTCCTCAAGGGGGACCTATTAGCATGCAAGCCTCTTTTGTGTGCATTATTCAAAGAAAAGAAGCAGCCCAAACCCACACCAGGAAGAGCTCATGAATGCATGTGTTTGCAGCTTTCAAATCAGGAGGTGAATCATTTATTATCAAAATGTTGATTTATGCAATATAACTTAATAATTGATTTTTCATTAAAGTTTTTATTAAATCACTTAATGCCAAAAGCATAAAAGCTACAGACAGCACATAGGTCTAAGCTTCAGCAGCAAGTGTAGGTTTGCATGGGGGGCCTGTATAATCCATAATCCAAATTTTTTAGTAAGAAAATATGCCAGTAAAGTTTTTCATTTTGTCCCACAATGAGCGTGCTCTTTATTGATAGCTATTATAATGACTTCTGATAATTCTAATTCCAATATGGATCATGTTGAATCTCCACCATCGAATCAATGCATTGATGTATTTTATCCACCCCTCACTTCCATAATCAGTTCCGTTCAGTTGCTCTGGAATATAGTGGGACCCAGCAGGCCATGAGGGCAGATGTGTGTGTTGTCACTATAGGGCAGTTGTTTGCTGAAGCGAGGGTGTGTTTTTGCAGAAAGAGCCCCGCAGGCTGAGAAGGAGGAGTATGTTGGAGTGAGGAGGAGGAGGGTGATGGCAGTTTGGTTGAGAAGAGGAAGATGTTCTGACAGCTGTCTGTTTCCATAGCTCTCAGCTTATCAGCGTCCTCCACCGAGCTGCTCTGCCGCAGCGTGTGAGAGATGAGGCGATAACATCAACATGTATACATGGCAGGCTGTCATGAGCATCTAGGACTAACAGCATTGATCTGTGTGTGTGTGTGTGTGTGTGTG